GACGGGAGTGAACCATCTAAGATGGAAACGAGGATTAGAGCTTGCATTAGTCGAGTTGGCGGGGCTCTCTGACTCAGCAATTCGAGTCAAGTAGCAGGTCTCGGAGATATTGAACTCACAGGCTACCGCTTGCAACCACTTCTCGTCCCTCTCTTCATCTAAAAGACACACTGCTGCGGGATTGCCCTTGAAAGGCGACTCGGTGAAGGCGTCCACCTATTTATCAATACAGAGAGAAGCTGTTCACGATAATGCACAACAAACACAGACACAGTGAAATAAGAAACATACCAGCCAATATTTGACGGGTTTCTTTGCCATTGACGGAGAGAGAGAAGATTTTTCGATCGACAGAAGGAAAGGTCAACCCCCAGACACCCACCCCAGTTGTTGATCACCCACCTGGTCATTTTATGCAGTGCCTGTTCGCGCTTGCGAGGAAAGATGGTTTGGTGGCTTTGGGCTCCCTTGGGATCTGGGCTTTGCAGCTTCTTTTCTTTTGTTTTTTGGGGGCCCCCGGGGGGGGGAGTCGTGGGCTCTTTGTACTCACAAAAACAGAAAAGAAACTTTCACCATTGCCCAGAACTTTGCTTGATTAGAACTACGTCTCAAAAATTTCAAGATTTCCTGCTGTATTTAACCGTACAAAATTTCTTTTGATTTTAATAATTCTTATTTTTTTGTTTCTAAATTCTTGATATGCCTCTTTTATGAAATGTTATATTGATGATATATACAAGCATAGTAACCTTAAAGACTATGCACCGACAAATAATGAAGACGGTAAGCAGTGACTTGGAAAGATCATCACAGAAGAAAAATTGGCAGTTACGCATAGGGCTGTTCACGGGACAGATCGGGACCAGAATAGGCTCGTCCCGGTTCCGTCCCGATGAACAGTAACATGACAGAAAATCTGTCCCGTGTCCCGGCCCGTCCCGGGGTTGTCCCAGTCCCAGTTAGGACGGGACGGGACCGGGATGTCTCGAATTTTTTTTTTTTAATTTTTTTAATTTTTAAAATTTTTTAATAAAATCTGATTTTTTTAATTATATTTTTTTGGGCTTAAACCTTATAAAAACATCTTTTTATTTTTTATTTTATTTGTTTGGGCACTCTTAGAGAAAACCCAAAATATTACATATAATAGTCATTAAAAACTCTAAACAAAAGCTTTTAACACAATAAAAACTTGCTAAAAATTCTAATCATCAATAATCTCAAATCATTAAGAAATATAAAAACTCTAAATAAATATATCCATAGTTCCATACAATAGTCTCAAATCTTAAAAAAATATAAAAAATGATATTATATAAATAGGAAAAAAATTTAAAAAAAAAAAAAGGGACTGGGACGGGACAACCCCCTTCCCGTGTCCTGTCCTGTCCTGGTCCCTTTTTTGTCCTGTCCCAGTTTGTCCTGTCTCGAAAAATTTCGAGACGGGTCTGTCCCGTCCCAATAAGACCGGGACTGGAACGGACTGACCGAGACGGGCCGGCCTTGAACACCCCTAGTTACATACCAGAATCGCACGAGTAAGGTTTATTTACCAACTCTGATCCTGTATATATCACTTTTTAGAAATAATCGATTATGAATCAACCTTACATGAAAAAATGGCTAGTTAATTATTTTCTTTTAATTTTACCTTTTTGTAATTTTTTAACAAATAAGATAAGAGGTCGAATACATTGTGAATTAAAGAAGTTTATTCTTTTAAGATAGTATCAATAATTTAACTATCCGAAAATTCATTCTTATTACTCCTTCCCATTTAAGCCGTGGGGTACAGAGAGTAGACAACTATGGAGAGTAAGTCTATTTATTGTGATGTCAAGAAATGCGCGTTATTCAAAGTCCGAATCCTGATGGTGGCGGAGAAGGGCGGTTCATGGGGCGGAGGTGAAGTTGAAGTTTGCACACGTGGTCATCCTTCCAAAGAGCAGAGAGCTGAATCCCAATCTAGAAGAAGCCAAATCAAACTGCAGAAGATTGTTCTCCAACTGATACCCTCCTATCACAATTGAAGTCGTCGGGTTGTCACCTCCATTCACTACTCCAAGACACAGCACATCGTCGTTCACCTGCACCATCGAGTTCGCTCCAAAAATGAACCAACTCACGTTATTCTTCAGCACAAGCTCGATGGTCGGCACCGCCGCACCCAGCCGCGTGCTTCCCACGTTGTCTCCACTGAAGCACACTTCGAAGGGAGCCACACCACCTACCCTGGTGATGTTCCTAGCAGCCGAAGCACTGATAAATGCCTCTGTCACCGCCTTGAAGGTCGAGGCCTCCAAAACTGTGTATGGGTTCACCGTACTTATCTTAGTCCCGCCAAAGCCTTCCTTGTTGATGGACAGCAAAGTGCTGTTGATGTTGGGCACAACTTTTTGGTCGATTTTGATGGATTTGACTCCGATGAAGTACTCAGACGAGGGCTGTCCCTGTGTGAAAGCGGAAGCTGTGCTTACTGGGTTGACGATGAGTGGTGTGTAAGTGAGCGATTGAGCGGCGTTCACGTTCGGAAGAAAAACGTAGGGGCCGTCTCCAAAGAAAACAACACCTCTCGAACTGGACGCGAGGCAAATGGCGAATTTCCTGTGAAAGCTAAAAGCGGAGGCTAATTGAGAAGGAAAAGCGATTTTGGTTCTACCAAGACCGGCCATGCCCAATACTCCTCTGGCGAGGCCGTTCAATAAGAAAGTGGGTGCACATGAGAATATGAAGCGGGAAACGGTGACGTTTCGACCAGGGTTGAATCCGTTCGTGGACTGGAGGGACACGACGTCTTGGGCGACCTCGCCGCCGGTGGCGGTGCGGGTGACGGTGTTGTCCGGCATTACGCCGCAGGTGTTGTTATTACAGCCTGGCCTCGGAGGCGAAAAGCATTCGCCGCATCCGGAGGCGTCGGCGAGGGAGCACTGGGCGGAGTTGCAGCGTGCAGGGCGGTAGGTGGAGGAGGTGTAGTTCTGGTCGCAATCGACCCAGAGGAATTGGCCGCCGAGATCAAGGACGAGGTTCACGGGGACGAGTGGGGTTCTCTGGTGAATTTGAGTAACGTACTGGAGAGTGGAGGCATCTTTAGTGACGGGAATTACAAGGGCCTTGGGCCTGAAAGAGGATTGAGCAAAACATGAAGAAGGAGCAATAAAGAGCAGAAAAAGGACGAGGTATTGAAAGCCGGAAGCCATGTGGGACGGACGAATGAGGAAGGAGGAAGGAGGAAGGAGGAAGCAAGCTAGTTCATCTGAGAAATGGCGTGGCTGGATCCTCTACTTATAATAACAAATAATAATGTAGTTGTAGTAAATTCCGCAAGGGCTGCCTCTTTTGAACGTCATCGCAAAGAGATGTGGTGCTGCACAGATAACAACGAGCATTGAGTCAATTTTTATCATTTTTATTTTTCAGTCAGACAAAGCAGGCTGAGCTCATCTGACAAGTAACATCCAGAAAGTGGGTCCCACGATTATATTTGATTTCAGTAGTTGGCATGCAATGCAATGGCAAACCATTTGTTGTCTTTGCATAAATCCATGCTCATTTTAATTTATTAATATTTTTCCGTTAACTTGCTCCATGCGTGCAAGACATTTGCAATTCCGTAGAAGAACAGGCAACAGAAAAATTAAATTATAATTAAATGATCCACCAAAAATTATAATTAAACGATTCTATTTTTAGAAGTGCTAAGTGAAAATTGGAAGCATTTGGAAGGTGTTAACAGATATGTGTGTGTGTGTGTGGATATGTGGCAAAAATCAACTTGATATAATAAGCTTTGGTTTTGTTAATCGGCAGATCATGTTTGGCACTATTTCAAAGGAAGCGGCATAAATCGTTATTTAGTACAAGTTGTGGCGAGGTTTGCAGGAATGGCAAATATTTACTATCATCCAAGATTGCTTGATGTGGCTTTCATCTAGAATTAAGTTAGCCAGCCATGGCCACCCCACCCCGCGAACGAAGATTTGCATATATCTTATCCCCTTGTTATGCATATTAAAACAAAATACAAAATGTGATGGTCAGAGGAATGAATTTAATGTACATTTTAAACTAATGATTGATTGATTTAGTGGGACCAAGCCAGAGTATTAGCACGAAACGTTGTTGATGAGCAGATGAAGCTAGACTGCCCAGATTTCTCTTGATCCTAAGATCAAGAAAGGGTTTATTATTATAAAACTCGTGCACGCAAGTAGAAGAGGAAGAATATCGATTCAAAACGTTGAGGCTCAACCCCAGGGTTTGAAAACGACAGCTAGATTATCACCGGTATTCCATCTTATATACGCCGGCCTCAGCGACTATAGCACATTGCTTTTGACCCAAAAAGGATCAACGCGTCGCTTTGAGATGTTCCAGGCGCCGGAATTAAAGTTCCTGACGTCTTTCTACTTCCCTAGAGACAGCAGGGCAAAGCTACTTTGTTAATAAAGAAAGGGCATCTAAGCGAAATGGGTAATCTCGTGTTGACATCCATGAGTTTGGATGAAGCTTACCCTTTTTAAGTTTTTAATTTTCATCGTTCTTTAGTTATTTTATTAAAAAAGAAGAGGCATTTTCATTTTGCATAACATAAAAATTTTATCTTTTTGTCCCTTAAAAACACCAGCTTCAAGAAATAAATAAGCCCTCCAACGTCAGAGGATCCATGCTCCCATTTAAAACACGGGCTGACTTTTTCCTATTGGCTCATAACCCACTAGAACTTATATCTAATTATTATTATTTTAATTTGTCAAATTCGGAAAAAAGCACGGCACTTTTTATAGGATAAGGGTGCAACCGCACAAGTACAACTAACAGAATTTCCTGACAATCATGAAGACCCAACCTACATTCGGCAACTCTTATGCTACCTCCGTGGGAAAATAAATTCTCCCACGTCAGATGAAAATTTGATTTCCAAGTGATTCCGACTAATCGCATGGGTTAAAATAAATGAAAAGATCAGTGAGACGAAGGATGAGGGAGGCAGACATATTACACAACATTGAATAGCATCGCAAGAGTTTAAAACCTTGAATTCAGTTGCAGTGGGTTGTGTTATCTAAAACATTTATTAATGTTAAATTACACTCTATTTGCAAACCAAAAACAGGACTAAACTAGAATACATCCTTCCATCACTGTAACAGCTTTCCCTCGCAACAGCACCCTTTGGTTCTGCTCATCAAGATGGATGTTGAGAACTCCACCTCTTGATGATGCCTGCTCCCATATAATATAAAGAGTCAACACAACAATCACATAGATAACTCCATCATAACGACAAAAGAGTACCTGATAAGCATTGAAATCCAACTTCCCCAGTTTCTTGCTCCAATAAGGTGCTAAAGCACAATGTGCACTCCCGCAAGCAGGATCCTGAAAGGAAATGCAAGTGACACGCCATTATCTCATTACTTTTGTTTTATTATCTAGGAATCTAATGGATGTTAGGTTTTGCTTTCTATAGTAGCTCTTCCTTTCTGGTAGATTAACCAATAACATGTCATAACAATAGAGGGGGGGGGGGAACTTATCTCACCAGTCTCAGGTAAAAATTTTATTGCATAGTGTGACCCAAAAATTTGAATTAAACACGTTTAATGCTAACCACAAGCCAAAATCAGACAAGGCGCCAGCTAGATGACAAACGGCAGAGCAGCAATTTTTTTTGGCCCCGGGGGGGGGGAGTTGGGGGAACAATTTAGGAAATAATCCGTCATTATTTGAGCTTAAAATAAACCATGACTAAAACTATTATACATAGCTATATCTCAGCTATTTACCTCATTGATTCCGTCCTTTGGGCAGAAGAATCTGCTGTAGAAGTCGAATCCTGAGTCCGGAGGAGCAACGGCAGCGAGAATTATCCCTCTTCCAGGACATTTTAATATAGCATCAAATCGTGGCTTAAATTCTATGACAGATTTCCCAGACGGGACTTCCACCTGCAAGGCATGAGAAGCCTAAACTCAAACATGTCTGATACGGGAAAAGATAGAACTTGATTACCATGCGATCAAAGAAAGGAAGAGAACAAATTCAGGAATTACCAATAGGCAATTTCCCACGGATGTCCTCTTTATTTCAACTATAGAAGCCCCCTCTAAGGCTGCCGAAATTTCTGAAGTCTCAGTGGAATGAAATTCTGTGGGAGGGTCAGTAGGAAAATCCAATTCAATGTAATATCCGTCTTGATTTTCGCCATTTTTCAAGTCAGAGGCACAAGCGATGCTAATATCTGGTATTTTTTTAGCAGTCAACACTCCAGATAACGTCACAAATTCCACGATATTGGAAGCCACTAAACCAGAAGAGAAGAGTGTGTGTGCAGCAGCTAATGTAGCATGGCCACAAAGTTCAACCTACAAAAGTGCGCCGAGTTTGCTAACGATAAACTTCGCATCAAGCACTTTATGAATGACAGATATGGCGCAAATCATGCTTAATTTTTTAGCAGTTCTGGCTTAGACAAAATCCAGAAACAGACTTGAATGGCATACTAAATGAATCATGTGGCCCAAGGAATGCCAAACAATACTTGTTGAAACGAAAGCCATAATTATCATGAACCAATTCAGTCTTCAAAGCTATTGCAAAATTGGCACACCAATAAACTTAGATCACTCCTATGCGACAGAGGGATCGTTAACTGCGTGAGACGATTCCCATATCAAATCCGCATATACAATAACAGGAGCTATTTTAAAACGATCTATTTAGTAATTAAGAAGCTCTATAAAATTTACCTCGCAGACGGTAGTGAACCATCTAAGACGGAAACGAGGATTAGAGCTTGCACTGACCAAGCTAGCGGGGCTCTCTGACTCAGCAATTCGAGTCAAGTAGCAGGTCTCGGAGATATTGAACTCACGGGCTACCGCTTGCAGCCACTTCTCGTCCCTCTCTTCATCTAAAAGACAGACTGCTGCGGGGTTCCCCTTGAAAGGGGACTTGGTGAAGGCGTCCACCTGTTTATCAATACAGAGAGAAGCCATTCACGCTAATGCATAACGACCACAGATACAGTGAAATAAGAAACATACCAGCGAATACTTGACGGGTTTCTTTGCCATTGATGGAGAGATAAAAAAAATTTCGATCGAAAGAAGGAAAGGTCAACTCCAGACGCCCTCCCGAGTTGCCGTTAATCATCATTTATGTACCTAATGCTTCCGCTGATGCGGTTGTAACTTACTGTCCAAGGCAGTCCGTCTCTCTCTGGGCACCGGATTCGTGCTTGCGAGGAAAGGTGGTCAGGCGTCTTGGGCTTCCTCAGGATCTGCGCTTGGTAGCTACTGAAAACAAAACAACAGAGATGGGCCTAGCCCTCTTTGTCCTCACTAAATAAATAAAATCCCGGAAAAACTTCATTTTTTCTTGAAAAAATGACATAAAAAAAGTTAAAAATTATAATATTTCAATTTAGATACTTAAAAAGTCAAAATCTCATTGGAGAAAGTGATATCTGATTTGGTATTTTATAAATATAGTCAAATGACTAAAATACCCCTATATTAGATTTTTTAAAGAAAAAAAACTACAAACTTGTCATTGTCAGTGTATTTTTGTTATTAGTTGTTCAACACTTTTTATGGTCAATTCACAACTTATTAATAAATAATTTTTCATTGCCAGTTCATAACTTATTAATAAATAACTTATTATTGTCAATATATTTCTTCTCATTTGCTGTTTAACACTTATTATTGCAGTTCACAACTTGTTAATAAACTCTTTGATACAAGAAATTTTTTTTATTTAACTATATTTGTAAATTACCAGATCAAGCTTCACTTCCTCCCTTAAAATTTTAGCCTCTTAGATGCCTAAATTAAAATATTGTAATTTTTAACCTTTTTTTTTACGTCATTTTTTCTTTTTCTTTTGCCCACAAAATTTTATTTCACCTTTGCTCAGCTTTTCTTAACGATAACCATGTCTCAAAAATTTCAAGATTTCCGGCGATTTAGCCCTACAGCTACAGCATATTTCTTTTGATTTTTAATAATCCGAATGTTTTTCTAAATTCTTGATGTGTTTCTTCTATACTCACTCAGTTTGCCGCAAGAAATGCTTAAAATGTTACATAAATGATATTTATAGCCGTTGAAAATTAAATTATCATCCCCGACTCTTGAATCAGGCACTTAATGCTGATTTGTTCCTAGTTGGATCGTGCTCGGGCTCACGCATTATCTATCAATTCGGTCATAGCCTTGTAAACACCAAAGATGATGATCTGCTTAATCCCTTTTTTTTTAGTGATAGATGTGCTTAATCCTTCATCAGTCTTTTTTTAAACCAGAATTTTGGCATTAAAAAAATCCTTTATTAGTTATTCTTCATGTGCTTGGTTGATTTGGTTTGAGCACTGCCCAAACCATTAAGGTCCCGTTTGGTACGAAGCATTGAAAATAATGAATGGGGATTGTGATTGTAATTTTAAAAAATCATTAAAATAGTTTTTAGCATGAATAATTACTTGTTACATGGGATTAGGCAAACCTATAGAGGTGGGATTGGGGAATACCACTTTCCCCCATGGTATTCCCCAATCCCACACACATGAGTTTGGCTAATCCTATATAACAAGTGATCTCTTGTGTTAAATATTCTTTTAATAGATTTTTTTAATCTTAACCCCAATCCCAATCACAATCCCTATTCCTAATTTTCAATGCTTCCTTCCAAACGGGGCCTAAGGTCATACGAAATATTGAAAATATAATGAGGGGTAAAGATTGAGAATGAGATTAAAAAATATGTTAAAAGAGTGTTTAGTATAGGTGATTTATTGTTACTTAGGATTGGACAGATTCATATATGTGTAATTGAAGAATATCACGATTAAAGAACACCTTGAAGAGAACTGGTATTTTTCAACTACACCTATATGGAATTGCCTAATTTCATGTAATAAGAAATTACTCATATTAAATACTTTTTAATTTTTTTAAATCACAATCTCAACCTCTCATTTCAATAATTCGTACCAAACAGAATCTAAGAGCTCGTCCTAGAGCAATTAAGAAAATAGATCTTTTTTTAATTATTCTTGGTAGTACAATATATATGTTTAAAAAAATATATTGTTTTTCTAACATTAAATTTTAGGCTTGAATACAAAAAACACTCCTCAACTTTTAATTAGTTCTCATCACCTCCCTAACCTTTAAAAGTTTAAATTAAGGATCCTGATATTTCATGTTTTGATTATTGACTCCTCTACCATTAAAATTACCGTTAAAGTTAATGATTTTCCCTATATCATAGTTTTTATTATACCATATCATTTAAGAAAATAATATTTGAATTAACATGTAATTTTAAATATTTTTATAATTGAAATGAAATACTTAAAAATAGAACAAACTTCAAAAAATATTTAAATATTTACTTGATCATGTGTATTTAATTAAAAAAACTTAAAATTACACGTTGAATGCCAGCAAATATTTTTTTTAAATCATTTGACATATAATAAAAAATATAAAAATTATGACATGTCAAAATTATTAACTTTAATGACAATTTTAGCTGGAGGAGAGCTGATAATCAAAACATAAAATATCAGAATATTTAATTTAAATTTTTGAAGGTTAAAAGAGTGACATGCAACTGACTTAATATTGAGAGGAGTTTTAAATTCATGGGAATTTTATATTTTGGTGAACTGTTTGTTTTATGACTTTATCGTGTGCACTATCTCTGTCATTATCCATATGGTGCGGCCATCCTCAGCTTCTAGATCGCGATTACTAGAGTAGTCGTAGAGCCTCACTAGCTAGGCCACCCAACGAATGTATTATATTTTCTTTATCGTGTTCACTCTCATGCCTCGATTCGACTTAATCCAAAGTACCAAGCAGCGAATTAGGCCGCACTTGCTTGTCTTTTATCTTTAGCCACACAAGCATGCCAATCATTTTCAAACTATTCAGATATCTTCCCCCTTTCACTCTCATCACTACAGCCAAACCTTGGATACTGCAAATCTGTTTTTATACGCTTGGTTAAGAATTGCATCTCCGGCCAAGATCTGGTCAAACGTAAGAGCTAGCGAGCATATATTCCTGGGAAAGATCGACCGCAACAAAAGGGCAAACGCTTATTCACTTTCCCCACAGAAAAGGAACTATTCCCAATAATGCAGATGTGACATAGATACACACGCAAGAGAAGAATTTTAAAGTTATATGTGATGATTATTTTTAATTACTCGATCTCCAGACTTTAGTACTTGGAAACAACATGGATGTACTCATGTGCATGAATGTTGCAAAAGGTGATCGAGCTGGTGGGGGAGAAGGGATGATTAACGAGAAAAGATCGAGAATTAGAAAAATGAAAAGGGAAGCCCGCCATGATGATCATCGTACGTGTGATTGGTACATGAATAAAATCTCACATAATGATATCATAATCATCATTCATTACGGTCTTTAATCAGTACTGGTGCAGGACTCTTGTGTCACATCCAGCCCCGCGTGCGTAAAGTAAATTTGGATTCACCTCCAACGGAAATGACATAAAACGAGAAGTTTCGAGGGCTGCCTCAACAGCGGACTCACTCAATCGAGTGCCAAATTACATGATTGATGACGTATTTAACAATAATCATTGGGGCACATTATATTATCATTTATTTTCTTTGCAGGTTCCATCATATCCCTCAAAATCCATTCGTTTCAACGCCACTGTGCTTGTAATACCAACACGCTCCCTCCCTCCCTTTCTTCCAAAAAGCGGCTAGGCGATCAGATTTTCCAATCCGAGGACAGCGCGTTGATCTTTTTTTTTTTTTTTTTGGGTAAAGTTCGATCACTTTAAAGTTTTCGGGTTTGATATGATGAGGATGCGGAAGAGAGAGCTAGAGTTCGTCTCGAACAGCGCGAAGGTATGATCACTTACCTAGAGATCTCAAGTAGTTAGGTATACATGAACATGGCTTTTGTGGGCCTCATGCTCATGATTCAGATGATAAGTATTAGATATAATTTGGTTTGATGCGACTCTTTCCAGTTTCCACGTTTAAAGCTTCTTTAATTACCCATTACACAACGTTGTTAAGCTCAAAAGGCGTAAATAAAACACAGTAATAAAGTTTTTGTTCTGCCAAGATATGTGAACCTTGATGTTGACTGCTGTGGCAATTATTAATTTGGTATGACACACAAATATATATACATATATTAAAATATTTTTTCCCGGTATGAACGGGAACTCGATAGTATTGCAATCGAAAAAAACGGATAACAAAATTTGGCATAAATTCAGCAAAGACAGTAATAATGACGCACAGATTACAATAAAATTCACTCACTGCAGTCTTACAGGATGTGCACGAGTGGAAGTTAAAAAGTAGCCGTAATCATGATTGGCATAGCAGCATTGTGTGTAATCCCACGCAAGCTACCACATACATATGTGGCTCTGTTTCTCCCTTTACATTAAAACACATTATCCGCATATTTTCTCTTATCATTTTTCAATGACTAAAACACAAGAATAGAGACTTCATAATGATCTCAAATAGTAGTATTTTTTCTCATCCATCGGGAATATTGCCAGAATCCACTGTCTCGCTGCTCCGATCTGATCACACACACACACAGTTCCTCTCTATCTTTTTACAAATGCACGCTGTTGATATATGAATAACAAGAAACTGCCGTTTGACTAAAAATCCTCATTCTAAGGCCCTCATCAGCCACTTGCAGATAATCTCGTCTGCTGGGGGAATTACAATCTGGGACTCACTCTCAATATGCTACTTGCTTGAGCTGAGAATTGGGATAGTGGGCCCTCAGCAAGAAAATGAAATCGAAAGTTGGAATCCACTGCGGGGAAGAAGATGTGAGGTGCTAATTTGTTTTTGGGAAAAGCACCTTTTCATGTCATCCTAAGTTCAATCACTTGAAATAAGGACTCCACTCTCCAATCCTTCGTGCCATCGCCACCCTTCCTTTTTCATGCACGGACGAGAATCTCTCTCATCTTTATGCTGCCCAGTCGTGTCCTCCCTCCTTCCAGTTCATCCGAACAAATGCTCTCCCCTCCAACTTTACGTCATGCTTCTTTTTGGACTATCATGGGCACTTATCATCAATTCCCTCATCATCATCGTCCCCACTGCAACCTATCCACTTTGTTCATTCACACACTTCCCTCTAATTATCTTCACAAATCTTCTCCTACCTAGCCAATTCTTGTTCCAGTTTCGTTCCAATACATAAACTAAGAATTAGCTTTTGCCTGCGGTTATTATTTGGAAACCATATTGCTTTTACACATATAAGTGTATAACATAAAAGGGAGTCTCTTGTTACACTCAAATAGATGCAGTTGAAAAATATAACGTTATATCATCAATACTGCGTATTAATTACAAGGCAATTGATCTTGTTCGTTGATCAGATAGGAGGTGTGGAAGAGTTGCATTAGTCACTATACTAAAGTAAAAAAAAAACAAAAGGGAATAATGAGGAAGACCTTATCATGGTGGCATTGATCTTGTGCAATTTGCTGCTCCAGCAATCACCGTACCCACTTGGCTTTTACGGGACACAAATAACCTCTCAGGGCTCAGGACCAGTGAGCTATAGTGATATAATGCAAGGGAAAAAAGAGAAAAAGACAGATAAATATTATCAGAATATTTGCACAACACCATTGGTTTCTTTTCATCGAACAGCTATCATCAGAGTCGAGTATTTTGACCTCTTTCGCCCTCCCTAGCTAGTCCTATAAATACTCCACCATCTAGCCTCTTCCCATTCTCAAATTCAATGCTAATTGAGTTCTTTGAGTGAGCTTTCAGGATATATACATATGTCATTCTTGTATTAGTGTTGCATCAGCTTCCTCACCGGTCTTCTCTAGTCGGGTTTTCATTGCGCTGTAGAGTTCCTTCTCTGTGAAATATAGGTTGACCGCCATGAGCATCTCCATGGTAACAAGCAGAAATGTGGCACAAACCCTGATCGATAGTCCTTCCAGCAGTCGAAAACTGATCAATCTTCCAAGGCAGAAAGAGAAGGTGGTGGTGGTCATGGGAGCCACCGGCACTGGAAAGTCCAGGCTCTCCATTGACCTCGCCACCCTTTTTCCTGCACAAATCATCAACTCCGACAAAATACAAGTCTATGAAGGCCTTGACACAGCCACGAATAAAATCACCAAGGAAGACCGACGAGGGGTGCCTCACCATTTGCTGGGAACAGAGAACCCCAACTCAGAGTTCACGGCCTCCCACTTCCGTGAAGCGGCTTTACTCACCATCGAGTCAATTACGTCTTGCGGACAGCTTCCGATCATCGTGGGAGGGTCCAACTCGTATATTGAGGCACTGATCGACGATGACGACTATAAATTCCGATCGAGATACGATTTCTGTTGTCTCTGGGCAGACGTGTCATTGCCCGTGCTCGACCAATACGTGGCCAAACGGGTTGATCAAATGTTGGAGAGTGGAATGGTAGATGAACTGAGACCCTTTTTCAATCCGAGGGGAGACTACTCACGAGGGATTAGAAAAGCTATCGGAGTTCCTGAGTTCGATCAGTATTTTCGAAACGAATCGTGGATAAGGGATGAAGGAATCAAGCAGAGGTTACTGGAAGAAGCGGTGAATGAAGTGAAGAAAAACACGTATAAATTGGCACGTAAACAACTGGGGAAGATTCAGAGATTGCGCGACGTGAAGAGATGGGAGATGCAGCGGCTAGACGCGACAACCGTGTTCCGCAAGCAAGGGGAAGAAGCAGAGGAGGCATGGAAGAAGGTGGTGGCTGAGCCAAGTGCTATGAACGTCGCCAGGTTCCTTTACAATATTCCCTCTCCGAATGTTGGCCCCCGCCTTAGACAGTCGTCGTCGGCCCTGGAAAGCGCCATGGCTACGGCAACGTGCTGAGTACTTCACGTCTCTTCAGTCTCCCTCTTGTGATCGATTCTGGTTGCCTAGAGTATCCTCCCACCCGGACAGTGAAAAACTAATATCTCGGGTACTATCAGGCACCGTAGCACGGACCCCTCCCAACAGTGTTTATTCCATATACACTGTCTCAAGGATCAAACCCAGAACATGATGTTTAAGGTGCCCAAGTCCATTTCACTTAGACCAACACTTGTTGGTCTCTTATACGATAGACGGTTACAGTTTACTGCCCACATTATTTATACTTTTTTTTTTGGCCAATAAGCTGTTTGTGTAATAAATGTGACATCGTTAATGAAATTAGTACCAAATATCTGTATTCAATTCACCTCTCCATTGATAGGAAATTTTTACTAATCGATACTTTTCATAAATAATTCATTGAGATTTGAATTTAGCACAGTGACAAACATTTATTCCAGTTATCCATACACAACTCATCTGAATTCATCATAAATTACTTATTCATGTTTACATATATTAAATATATTTTCTCTATCTGTAATATACAAGACACCTTCAACATTCGTCATGCATGCATGTCATGCAAATTTAATTTTGTTCCAACCTCCATCACTAATACTGATAAAAATTGGATCGATTGGGTTAAATAATTTATTTGCTGCCTGAAATACAAATATAACATTATGGGACATAAAACCTAATTAAGGCTAAAAATAGCGTCCTAATACCATAAATAAATTAAAATTCATGAATGGCGGGGGGAGGGGTTTTGATCTGTGTCTCTGGAAGGATGAACTAGGACCTGCGCGTGCCCTGTTTTCTACCACGATATTAATCGGACAACTCTGAAGATGAATAACATTTTGAGGAAGACAGAAAGATAAAGCTCTTCATGCTTTGAAATTCTGATTTGTCTAACGATGAATAATCCTCGAGTGATATTTTGGACTGTTTTTGTCATGTATTGAGTTTTTTTTTTTGGCCCCAAAATATCCCCCAAACCGCCAAATGCTTATTAATCAAGATAGAAATGTGTTGTTAAGGAATACGAGTGTGGATGAAATTAACAAAATACCACTTCCAGTCCTTAGTTAATATAAAAACTAGTTGAATAATCTGAGTAGATTAAGAAAACTAATTAAATTGGTTATTTGTAATAAATATATGTTATCTTTCCTAAAATGTCCTTGCTAATCAAATGTATTAGTTAGAATTACTATTATTACAATGACTACTTTGAAAAAAAATAAATAATTAAGAGAGATAAAGTAAATTGGAGTTTTATATTTTGGATCAAAATAAAAATCAAACAAACTCTTATATTAAAAACAAAAAAATAGTAACACACACAAGATAGCAAGAGAATAGAAGAGTGGCGTGGGAAACAAAAAGAAGAGTGGGGAGTTTGGACTTAGAAGAGATCACATGCGGCGAAAAGGGTCTCATCATATCATATGGGATGGAAAAATGGATCATATTCGCAACACTTTGTTTAATACCCTCACGAGGTGGAGGGATGACCTCCCATACTTATAGTGCCTGCATTATCCACCCCTCACCCAGATTCACATGTCAACTGAACAATTTTCGTAATAAAAAAATTCAAAATTAGTCACTCAATGACACATTCTTCCGCATTAAATTCCGTCCGTGATTCTACTTGGTTCTTCTGTAAAAACACGCGCGCGCGCATTTGAACCTAACCATGTTTCTATTACGTCAACCACGCGCCTATTTTTGTAAACGCTGAATTATAATTTACTCCTTCGCTCTTTAATATGGAACCCAATTCTTGAGTTGGTTTTGGTTATAAATATAAGACCCATTTCTTATATTTATCAATTTTCTCTAAATTACCCCTATGGATACTCTTTCAATCATAATCAAGTAGAAGAGGGAGATGAGGTATTAAGAAAAATGACTATGTTGTTTTAGAAAAAATATATCACTTTTCTTATAATTAATTAACTTACCTAACTTCTTTAATATAATCAAATTAGTTAAATAGATCTTATATTAAGGATTGGAGGAGTATCATCATAGGAAAAACGAATGATAAGTAAATTGTTTTTACCAGTGCGAGTAACTATGCAAATGGTCCAAGGAGAACAACACTTTTTTGAATGAATATATTGCATCTTGGCAAAAAAAAAAAAAAGAATATATTGCATCAATGCGCTTTGTGTTTTTGCTGGATTTTGGACCCATTTTGTTATATTGGATTCCCGTATCGGTCCAAGACCTGATGGATGAGAAGTTGACAGAGACAGAGACGGAAGTGTGCTGTGATGGCAATTGCGGTTTCAAATAGGAGTAGTGGAAGAAATGGGATAAAATGTTAAAGACAAGAATGTGATTGAATAGGTGATACATGTACAAAGATTTAAGAGGGTAGATCGGTGGTCTCTTTTTTTTTAGTTTAAAAACTGGCAGAAGATAAATGTTAGAAGAGGAGGAAATAAATTGAATTTTCAGTCAAAAATAATACATATCAGATGCCTGCGTGTCCGCCATGTAAGATTTTTCAGTTACCCTTCAGCTGAGTTAGTAAGGTAATGGTCAAACGAGGCTCTTCTGTTAGCCCAGGATGTGGACGCACCGTTTTAATTAGTTTGGGACACTGGATGCACCAAAAATTACTTCAGGATACTAGGAGCACCTGAAAAAATAGTTTGAGGCGCTGGGCGCATCTTAACCTATCAAAATAATACACATCACACGCCTCCGTGTCCGCCACGTAGGATTTTTCGGTCAACCTTCGGCTGAGTCAGCAAGGTAACGGTCAAACTTAATTTTTCTGTTAGCTCGGCATATGGATGAGTTGTTTTAATCAGTTCGGGATATTGGATGCATCAAAAATTACTTTAGAACACTGGGAGCATCTGGAAAAATAGTTTGGGGTGCTGGGCGCACCTTAACCCAACTATAATTCAATTCAGATTTTTTTGATTTGGATTTTCACAAAAGTCGGATTTTTTTTTTTTAATTTCAACGACAATAACCTAAAAAGATTGTATAAATTGAAAGCTTATGATACCAACTCATTTAAACGATCTTTTGAGGCAAAATTTTTCATTATTGACCCTCAAAATTATTCATCAGCTAACCGTCAACATTACTAAAATGTTACCATCGGCCCATATTGTACCATTTTAAAAATTTTTAAGGAGAATATTGCGTCAATCAAAAGTTAAGGATATCAATTGTATTGAGCGAAAAAAAAAATCCAGAACAAAATTGCTACTTAGCGAATTTGAAACGATAAAAAAGATGTGTATTTGCAAAAATCTGAAATAAGTACTTTCTGTAAAATTTGTAAGTATGTTATTTGATGTTATGGTGTAAAAAACTTTGCAGTCAAATAGTCAAAGGACGACAAGCATATTTGACACTCTCATGCAACAAAAAAATTGTTGCGGTGTTTTCCACTAAAGAACATATATATATATATATATATATATATATTATTTATAGACAATCGCAATATTTAAAAATTATAAACGGTGCATTTTGCCTGATCATGCAAATCAAATGCTTGTATGTTCTTAAAGTTTATCATAACTAAAACATAGAGCAATGTAATCTCTACTCCTGTAGATTTACATGATAAAGATGGAATTTATTTGTTTATTTATTAACTTTAGCCTTCTTTCTTACATCGAGATAATTTGAATTCTTAACATCACCTCATAAATTGTTTCATTTTCACCATCCAAGCTAAGCTTCTATGGCAGAAATCAGGTACATCACATGGACTCATCAGGAAGGAGTACCCCAGAAACTTCATTTATGTAATTTTGTTTACTCTTTCGTGTTAAACACAAATTTTGGTAAATCTGATCATCATGTGAAAAGCTCACACCACTTTATTTGATTTTTAACCTTCCTAAGAGTTGAGTGGATAATCAAACAAACCATAGTCTCAACCTTAGAGGAAATAGGAGTGACCGCACAGAAGCTAAACAACCAGAGATATATAAGTACAAGGAATTAATTAGAAAGATGAGCGTAAATTAAAACTTATTAATCGAACACAACATTAGGCTACTTTTCATGGTGGTTAAGAGACGTGATCAAATGGGTCCCCCGCAGGAATAAGTAGCATTACAGAAATCTCCAACGGTGACTGTGTACTGATGAAGAGGCCTGACAAGGAAGGGAGGCAAGCGAAGTAAAACCTCACACACACACTGGCTATCCACTTCCTTAACCCACCTGCAACAATCCTCCTCCTGACTAGTGTGATGACGGTGTCTGTGTCCATGTCCGTGTCCGTTTCTGTGTCTGTGTCCGTGTCGTTGTCGATGGCTATGGCCGTCGTCCGGGGAGGGGGGAGGAGACGGCGGCGTTCCTGGAGTGAAAGGAAGCCTTGCACAAGCATAGTTTGCAAGTGCAAATTGAGATGCGCAAAGCGGCCTAGGCTCTGCTGGTGCCCCGATATGCAGGCTCTCCATCTTCGACACTAATGCCAGCGATGCCACTCCTACGATCGCTATTAAATTTATCACCTTCACTCTCTCCATCTCAAATCTCTCTCTCTCTCTCTCTCACGCTAATGCGTCAGATTCAGGAAAGAGTTTTAATGTTTACAGTTCATATATATGGCCTCCTTAAACCCGCTTAAATACTTACGAAGTCCATGACATAGGACTTACAAATGGAACTTCCAAGAGGATGGGTTTGTTCTACCATGGATCATCCAATTTGTGTGATGATTTTTTAGGTGAAGTGCAGAACTATTCTTGATGGGGTTTGCACTTTGCATCAACTACCCTGTTCCTGAACCGCAGGAGACGTTTTCATCATTTATTCACACGCTGGTCAAGAGCGTGGGGCAAATGCCAACCACATACGGTAGAAGTTATGCAGCGTGACACCTATTGAAAGGAGAGATTAAAGAGAGCGAGAGAATAAAAGAAAAGGCATGTTAATGTGTTTATATTAGAATTCTTGCATTGCAAGTATAACTAAGGAATGTTTATATTATAATTCCCTAGCATAGGTCAATTCTTTTTATTCCTCTTTTAGTTGCTGAGATATATAAAACAAAATGTTACTGCAAAGGAGAAACGTCTTCTTCGTTTTCTGTTCACACAAATGTTTTATGGCATTGGATTATGTTCTCTTGGGAAGAAGAAAAGAACTTTTGTTTCTATATCTTCACAATAGCAATATCGACGTCGACATACCTAAGATTTCCTGGCATTTATTTTCCTTTTGCCGCGCTAGTTGT